TCTTGCATTTTTTTATATATATATTTAATTTTCAAAAAAAGGTTTACCCTTTGTGTTTTAGCTGCAAATGGTTTTTCTACTGTATGGCCAATAGGCTAAAGGGTTTTTTTTGCTCTCTCAAACTGGCTGTTATGTGGTCATAAGTATAAATATGTTCGCTTGTGATCATGCAAGATATGTTTGCAAGCTTCAAAACGTCCCACCATATTCTATTGGAGGAGTAATGTTTCATGTTGTCAGTATATTGTAGCAAGTCACAACACAATAACTGGATAGTTTATAGTCCTCTGTTTCCTCCATAGTAAAGATTGTTAGTATTGCCATCACACTAGACACTTATATTAAGGTAGAATTTAAAGGTTTGGCAAAAAAACCCTAGCAAACAAATACCTTATTTGTGTAAAGGTTTTGCATAGAGCAGCCCTGATCCTCTTCTCTGGTCCCCCTCCGGTGCTCCTGGCTCCTCCCCCATGACCAGTGCCCCCAAGCTTAGCTGCTTGCTAAGGGGGCACTGGTGTATGGTCACTCTCAAGCCCAGTTCTATGCGCCCAAAAGACACACAGAGCTGTGGCTCGGCACCGCCCCCCACTTTGTCCTCATTGGCTCACTAGCTGTGATTGATAGCAATGGGAGTCAATGGCTCCCACTGCTCTCTGCCAATGAGGAGAGGGAGTTGTGGAACAGCCAGGGCTCTTGTGCATATCACTGGATCGAGAGGGGGCTCAGGTAAGTATTAGGGGGCTGTGGGGGAAGCATGCATGAAGGTAGAAAACCTGCCTTTACAATCACTTGAAATGTGTTTTATTAAACCATCATCCCCTAATAAGACAACCAAAGGTATTGTCATAGAACACCTAGCCTTATGACGATTTTGAATTTTTCTTTATGGGACTTAAACTATTAAAGTACCTTTTCAATTATTTTTTCCATAAAATGAGGTTTCCGCTGCCTTCCCCTAGCATTTCTATTGAACAATGTAGAAATTTTGAGTAGGTAATATATCAAAGGTGTTCTGATGGAGTGGCATATGAATCAGAAGCATCCATTCTGTTGGTTTTGGAGAAGGTAAAATGCAGAAGATATGAGGAGAGCCACAGATGGCTGAAAAGCAGATGATCTGCATTCAAAATTCGGGGTGGGGGCTAGCACAAAGAGGCAAAAATAGATCCTACAAAGCAGCCTCTAAACCCAAGAACAAAATGTAATGTATTAAAGCTTCCCAGTCCTTGAAGGCAGTGGCTGAATTAGTTTTATTTTCTTCAGTTTTTTTCCTCTATTTCTGTATGGTGTTCTTGCCAGTAACAAGCTTCCAGTTCTAGGGTGATGACACTTGTTTCCGTAATATCTTGGGGGGGGGACTTGTGTAGTTCAAGTCATTTAGGCAGGGTTGATAACCATGCGGAAGCTAACATTGCAGACTATACAGGGTAGCATCTGATTTCTGGCAGGTTCAACTTTTTTTTTCTTTTTTTTTCTATTTATGCACTTATTGAACAGATATAGTAAAATATTTCAGTGGGATGTTTACTAGATAAAAGGAGGACAAATATTTGTTAGGTTGTTGGGTATAGGAGCTAAAGCACTAAAAGTAGTGCACTCAAATTCATTAATGTGAACTTACACTGTGTGCCCCCCAAGTACCAGCTGTACTTACTTTTTTTTTTTTTTTTTTTTTCCCTGAAAGGGTGAACTAACCTTACCTGCTTCCATAGATAATGTGGAGAAGTGAGGGTAGCTGCAACAAAGGTCTTTTCAGGATTATTAGATGAAAAAATAGCCACCACATCTAAGGAGATTAGTAAACTTCAATATAATAATTTTTGTTTTTGGGGCTTAGATACTCTTTAAAGGGGTTGTAAAGGCTGAAGGGTTTTTAAGAATATGTAAATGCCTACATGTCCATTAAAGCTTGTATTTTTTTCATAGTTATTTTAAGCCTAAGTCTCGAGTGTAAAAAATGTAGATGTTTAGGGTTATTGTTTGTTTTTTGTTTTTTTTACTTTATTAGCCGTTTCCAATATACATTTTACAGACTTTGGCCAAAAATGTAAGACATACCCTGTCCCACCACTATCACACCACTGAAGCCCTAAACACTTACACCATAACACTTAACCTAATTCCATACAATTTCCCCTTCCCCCAAAACATGTTGCCTCTAAAGTGAGCCCCTAACACTTAAACCTGCCCTTTCTTCCCCTCCCCTGTTCCTTTTTTCACCCCTTACTCCAAAAAGCAACTTTTACAGTGAGCACTTAACTCTGAGGTTTCTCAACCCTAACCCTTAAAGTGTGGGCAACCCTAGCCTAAACCATAAATTAAGCACAAACCTATGGTATGCTGCATACTCTTCTGTACCAGGAACCCTTGCTTCTAGGAAGTGCTCCCAGGGATGTCAATCCTGCACACCAAGATTATCAGCTGGGAAGCTTGTGGATCTCTACCCATGTTATCCTGACACCACTGAGGCTATGTTTGGAGTAGAGACCTCATATAAATGTCTGCTGAACCCGAGAGATTGCCAAAACAATGAAGATTATGTGCAACATAGTCCCCCACCCCCCTTTTCCGTTCAGGGATTGGTAGTTTGCTACTCCCTGGCTCTTTGCATCCCTATACCAATTCACCCTAAGGGTCCATTCACACTAGAGACAGAAATGGCAAAAAAAAGCATAAAAAAATGCTCACAGTGGCTCGTATCACACAAGCGTTAATGGGCAATTGCTTTTATAAGCGGTTTTTCCAAAGCATTCCCTTCTGCTTGTATTTGAATGCTCTGAAGCTGCGTTTTATGATCCCAAAGCTCCTTTCAAAAAGACTTGTGATGTTTAGGTTCTCCTCTGCAAATATGCTTCTAAACGCCCTAATGTGCATGAGCACATAGGTTAACAGTTTCTTATACAGCTTGAAGGCCTGTATAAGCAGCATTTTTTTTTTTTTTATGCCCAGTGTGCATGGGCCCTAAGGGGAGCATGAAGATAAATTGACACCTCCTGGCATCTTTTAGTTATGCCTGGGCAGTTCTGTGACTAAATACAGCCCTATATATGACTGAAACTTGGACCTGACCTGTACTATTCTAGTCAATTAGGCAATAAAAGGTATGGTGTTGGGTGCAGCCAGGGTAAAACCCAATTCAGTAATTGGGTGTGTTATGTAATAAGGATTTTGCATACCATGTATTTCAGTAGTCATAATTCAAATATATGCAAAGCCAAAAGCTTAAGATTTTCCCCCATTTTTGAATAGATTGGGAAATTTTTGTTTTATTTTTTGTTTTTTTTGCCATATTCATCCCTTCACTGGAGGGGATTTCCTCACTTCTTGCTATGCCTACAAAGTGAGATAAATGTTCTAAAGGTCACCAGTGTTTCCATTAGGCTTTTCCTGTTGTTGGTCGTGTGTGTGTGTGTGTGTGTGTGTGTGTGTGTGTGTGTGTGTGTGTGTGTGTGTGCGTGTTTCACAGAAGAAAATCACCAGGGAAAATTATGTATATCTCTAACAAAGGTACAAGCAGCAATAAAAGCATTACAGGAGTTCCATCACCTCATTGCTCTTTCCAGAACTAAAATTTAAAACAATATTGTTTTTTTAGGTTCTTGGGAGCCCAGCTCCAGGAATTACCAAGTTTGTTAAATGCTTGATAACTGGTAGATGAGGAATAAGGCACAAGGCTGCATCCACACTTTGAGATTTTGAATTGCAGGGCAGAACTAGTGTAATTCTGCCCGCCATCGCACTGTAGTTGTGGCGAATCGCAATGTGTGTTTGGGTGCCATTAATTTTCTAATGTCACCTCAAACATGATGCAGTTTTGCAACTATTATCATGCGATAATCCACATCACGTAAAGCTTGTTGCCCAAAGAAACTCCTCCTTCTTGAGAAACAAGCTTCACACAAAGCAATGTGCCGCTATTGTTGCAGCAAAACTACACTGGCACATAAAAACACATGCTGCATTTTGCCACAATTGCAGTGTGAATTAGAGTCATGGCAGAATCTCTGCGGATGCACAATTTGTGGGAGCCTTCTAGAGTAAGGCAAATATTACACCTTTTTTCCTCAACCTCAAGGGTTTTTGAGCCATTGGAGGGTGGGGTGTTTTTTTTTTTTTTGGTTTTTGTTTTTTTGTTTTCTCTCCGAATTCTCAAAGTTGGGGAAGGGAGTTCTGCTACCATTCTCTTCTTTTTAGGTGGAGTGCAGAAGAAAACTGTGGTATCCTTTTTTGCTTTTCAGTCATGGAAATATATACTTGCATGTTCTGTATATCTTCAGTTACATTGCCAGAATCTAAATGTTGAAAGTCGGTTGGGTTTACATTAGATTCCTGTTTAAATGTCAATAATACTGTATAAAAAGTTTAAAGGACATAACGGAACATTCTGCAAAAACTGTCTGAAAGAAATTTTACTTCTCTAAAGTTTAACATCCTCTTAACACCTTTTTTGGTATATTGTGTACTCTGATACCGGACTAATTTACATTTCAGTATCAAAACAATTTGTACAGTTTGTTGCTATAGATTGTTTCTGTGTTTTAACTAGTTCATGGTTTGTTTTATTAAACTAATTTAAAAACATTTTTCTGTACTTGTTTTCTTGATGTTTTATTGACTGGATATGTAATGTTCTTCCCAGAAACACAAACATTCCCATGCTCAGTTGTAAACCTTTTTTATTTAACAGGAATAGCGTAATTTTAAAGGTTCATCAGTAATTCCTTAATACTCTGTACTGCCCCATTTTGGCTTTAGTATTCCCAGACCTGAAAGATGTACCGTATTTTTCGCTCCATAAGACGCACCTAGGTTTTAGAGGCAGAAAACAGGAAAAAAAAAAAATTCTGAACTAATGGACTGCAGACATAGTACATGAGATGACCAGAGACTGCGGACATAGTACAGATGAACAGAGACTGCAGACAGTACAGGGATGACCAGAGACTGCGGACATACAGGAGATACCAGAGACTGGAGGACAGTACAGGAATGACCAGAGACTGCAGACACAGTACAGTATGACCAGGGCGGACACAGTACAGGAGATGACCAGGGACTGCGGACACAGTACAGGAGATGACCAGAGACTGCGGACACAGTACAGGGGATGACCAGGGATGACCAGAGATGACCAGGGACTGCAGACACAGTACAGGAGATGACCAGGGAGACTGCGCGGACACAGTACAGGAGATGACCAGGGACTGCGGACACAGTACAGGAGATGACCAGGGACTGACACAGTACAGGAGATGACCCAGGGACTGCGGACACAGTACAGGAGATGACCAGGGACTGCGGACACAGTACAGGAGATGACCAGGGACTGCGGACACAGTACAGGAGATGACCAGGGACTGCGGACACAGTACAGGAGATGACACAGGGACTGCGGACACGGAGTACAGGAGATGACCAGGGACTGCTGACCTTTGGGGAGGGGGGGGGGGGGGGGAGCGGGTACCTGAATTTGACCTGTTCCTCTATCCAGCCGCGCGCTGTCTACCCGGCTTCTGTAGTGTGGGCGCTCGACGGAGAGCCGGATGCCCAGTGCGCATGAGCGAGAAGCGCTGCGCTTTGTGATTGGTCCGGCGGCTTCTGGGATCTGTCATGTGTCCCAGGTACCGCCTTACCATTCACAAAGCGCACCGCTTCTTGCGCATGCGCACTTGGGACCCGGCTGTCACTCACACTACAGAAGCCGGGAAGACAGCTCGCCGCTGGATAGAGGAACAGGTAAGGCCCTTCTGCAGAGCTGAGCGGCCGGCCCGGTATTCTGACACGGCGGCGGTGGAAATACCGGACCGGCCGCTCCATATTCGCTCCATAAGACGCACTGACATTTTCCCCCTTTTTTGGGCGGAAAAAAAAGTGCGTCTTATGGAGTGAAAAATACGGTATTTAGATCAGGAAATGTAAAGGAAAGTCAGAAATGTTTATCTGCATACTTTTCATTTGTTTAGTTTTTTAATATAACATTATACTTGCCTGCTCTGGTTTTGCACAGAGCAGCCCCGATCCTCCTCTTTTCTGGTCTGCTGTTGGTGCTCCTGTCCCCTCCCCCTGCTAAGTGCCTCTATAGCAAGCTGCTTGTTCTGGGGACACTTGTGCATGCTCTCTCCCCAGCCACCTCTTGTATGAGAAGGCAGAGACTTGGGAGAGCTTCTGCTCTTGTGCACATTTTGGGATCGGGTTCAGATGATTATAAGGGAAGGGGGAGCTGCACAAACATTCTATACATGAAAGTAAAAAACCTTCAGCCTTCAGAACCACTTTAAAGCGATTTTGTAAAGGTTTTTTTTTTTTGTTTGTGGTTTTTTTTTTTTTTGTTTGTTTTTTTCCACACCCCCAAAAACTTAACCTCCTCTCTGTTCAGTGCCCCCACGGGAAGCCGAATCCCTTAGGGACACTTATGTGTGCTCGTTCCTGAGCCCTGCTGCTGCGCCCATTAACACCGACAGTGGGATTCGGCCCTGCTCCCTCATCACTGGCTTTGATTGACCGTGCTGGGAGCCAATGGCTCCCAGTGCACCAGGGAGATACGGAAGTGAGGGGAAAGAAGAGCTGCAGACATGCATAGTGCTGGATCGAATGAGGGCTTAGGCAAGTCAAAGGGGGAGTGAGAGGAGATGCTAACGCCTAAACTTTTTTTTACCTTAATGCAAGGATTTAGGCTTTAAAACCATTTTAAGTACTGAAACTAGAGAGGCAGCATGATATCTAGACAACTTGTATTTGCAGTATAATGAAGGTTATCTTGTTTACTCAGCAGCTCTTCCCTTTTTAATCCCTTCCTGCCTGAAGTCTTCACGCTAATGTTCCTCATCAAAATGACCCATGCTGGGAATATGTTGTTAAACATTCTCCCTTTTGAGGTCCACCATCTGACATTTTGTGCAACTGTTAGTGCTCAATCAGAGCTGTCACTGACAGCTCTGGTTAGGAGTTAGTTCCTTGTTAAATGGTGTTGGCTATTATATGCAACCACACAATCATCTCCCACGCTCAGAGATCCATCGCTGTCAAATGGGTCAAGGGATGATAACCAATGAAATCCATCAGAAATGCACAGATGATGCAGCCTTCCTTGGAAGGAGAAATCAAGTAGCAGCTACAAAGAGAACAGACAGGAGGGTGCAAACATGTGCATTGTCAGAGAGATTATTCTGTAAAACATATCACAAATGGGTACTCACAAAAGTAGAATTTGTGCATAGTGTTAAAAAAATCATGAGATGCCACAATGTGTAGTTGCGAGCTGAGGCATTTTTGGGGTGTATCCCCTTCCTCAGAGCCAGGTTGGCCAGCATATGACAAATCTAAATCGATCAGTATCTTCCAGAAGTGACTACATCCCACACATTTTTGTTAATTTAATATTCTATCTTTTCATGTGACAAAACTGAAGAAATGATACTTTGCTACAATGTGACGTAGTGAGTGTACAGCTTGTATAACATGTAAATTTGCTGTCCCCTCAAAATAACTCAACACACCGCCATTAATATCTAAACCGTTGGCAACAAAAGTGAGTACACCCCTAAGTGAAAATATCCAAATTGGGCCCAAAGTGTCAATATTTTGTGTGGCCACCATTATTTTCCAGCACTGCCTTAACCCTCTTGGGCATAGAGTTCACCAGAGCTTCACAGGTTGCCACTGAAATCCTCTTCCACTCCTTCATGATGACATCACGGAGCTGGTGGATGTTAGAGACCTTGAGCTCCTCCACCTTCCGTTTTGAGGATGCCCCACAGATGCTTAATAGGGTTTATGTCTGGAGACATGCTTGGCCAGTCTATCACCTTTACCCTCAGATTCTTTAGCAAGGCAGTGGTCATCTTGGAGGTGTGTTTGGGGTTGTTATAAAGTTGGAATACTGCCCTGCGGCCCAGTCTCCGAAGGTAGGGGATCATGCCCTGCTTCAGTATGTCACATTACATGCTGGCATTCATGGTTCCCTCAATGAACTGTAGCTTCCCAGTGCTGGGAGCACTCATGCAGCCCCAGACCATGACACTCCCACCACCATGCTTGACTGTAGGTAAGACGCACTTGTCTTTGTGCCCCTCATCTGGTTGCCGTCACACACACGCTTGACACCATCTGAACCAAATAAGTTGATCTTGGTGTCATCGGACCACAGGACATGGTTCCAGTAGTCCATGTCCTTAGTCTGCTTGTCTTCAGAAAACTGCAGGCTTTCTTGTGCATCATCTTTAGAAGAAGCTTTCTTCTGGGACAACAGCCATGGAGACCAATTTGATGCAGTGTGCGGCGTATAGTCTGAGCACTGACCAGCTGACCCCCCACACCCTTCAACCTCTGCAGCAATGCTGGCAGCACTCATACGTCTATTTCCCAAAGACAACCTCTGGATATGACGTTGAGCACACGCACTTAACCTCTTTGGTTGACCATGGCGAGGCCTGTTCTGAGTGGAACCGGTCCTGTTACACTGCTTAGGGGTGTACTCACTTTTGTTGCCATCGGTTTAGACATTAATGGCGGTGTGTTATTTTGAGGGGACAGCAAATTTACACTGTTATACAAGCTGTACACTCACTACTTTACATTGTAGTAAAGTGTCATTTCTTCAGTGTTGTCACATGAAAAGATATAATAAAATATTTACAAAAATGTGACGGGTGTATTCACTTCTGTGAGAGTGAGTGTGTGTGTGTGTGTATATATATGTGTGTATATATATATATATGTATGTGTGTGTATATATATATATATATATATATATATATATATATATATATATATACATATATATACATGTATGTATGTGTATATATGTGTGTATATATATGTATATAATATAAAAAAAAAGTTGTGTTCAAAATAATGGCAGTGTGTTGAAAAAAGTGAATAAAGCGCAGAATTCTTCTATTAGCTTTTATTTCCATACACACAAATGCATTGGGAACACTACACATTCTATTCCAAATCAAAACATGAAGAAAAATATATCAAGTTTGTGTTGTTCCTCTAAAAAAAAAAAAATTGAATAAAAGTGAATATTAGACTGTTCCAAAAGATAGCAGGGTTTGTATTCTTCTTTACAAACTCAAACATTCACTATATAAACTGAAAAATGTTTGAAGACTTTGCTTTCCTTTGAATCACTTAATATTGTATAAGCATTGTTTCTGAGAACTGCTGTACATCTGTGTTGCATGGAGTCAACCAACTTCTGGCACCTGTGAACAGGTATTCCAGCCCAGGATGATTGGACTACATTCCACAGTTCTCTATTTTTGGTTTTGCCTCAGAAACTGCATTTTTGATGTCACCCCAGAAGTTTTCTATTGGATTAAGATCCAGGGATTGGGCTGGCCACTCTATAATGTCAATCTTGTTGGTCTGGAACCAAGATGTTGCACGTTTCCTGGTGTGTTTTGGGGTCGTTGTCTTGTTAAAACACCCATTTCAAGGGCATTTCCTCTTCAGCATAAGGCAGCATGACCTCTTCAAGTATTCTGATGTATTCAAACTGATCCATGATCCCTGGTATGCGATAAATAGGCCCAACACCGTAGTATGAGAAACATCCCCATATCATGATGCTTGCACCACCATGCTTCACTGTCTTCACAGTGTACTGTGGCTTGAATTAAGTGTTTGGGGGTCGTCTGACAAACTGTCTCCGGCCACTAGACCCAAAAAGAACAATCTTATTTTCATCAGTCCACAAAATGTTGCGCCGTTTCTCTTTAGGCCAGTCAATGTGCTCTTTGGTACATTGTAACCTCTTCAGCACATGTCTTTTTTTCAACAGTGGGACTTTGCGGGGGCTTCTTGCAGATATAGCTTGGCTAATTGTAACGGTACTCACAGGTAACTTTAGACCTTCTTTGATCTTCCTGGAGCTGATTATTGGCTGAGTCCTTGCCATTTTGGACATTTTTCTGTCCATTCGAATGGTAGTTTTTCGCTTTCTTCCACGTCTTTCAAGTTTTGGTTGCCGTTTTAAAGCATTTGCGATCATTTTAGCTGAGCAGCCTATCATTTTCTGCACATCTTTTATATGGTTTCCCCTCTCCAATCAACTTTTTAATCAAGGTACGCTGTTCTTCTGAACAATGTCTGGAACGACCCATTTTCCTCAGAATTTCAGAGAGAAATGCACTGTAACCAGCATGTACAACATTTGCTGCCTTCCTTCCTCAAATAAGGGCAATAATTGCCACCTGGTTTTCAAAGAATGAATGACCTCACTAATAGAACTCCACACTGCTATTATTTTGAACATGTCTCTTTCAATTAGTGATTCAATTACACAGAATCAGCAGCATGCATGTCATGACTGTTGGGTCTGTTGGATTTCTATTACTCTACTACACCTGCTAGTAAATTATTTGCTACGTAGAAATATCATTTCTACCAAAAACAGTGATTGATCAGGTTAGTGATGTCTGACTGCTATTATTTTGAACACAACTGTGTGTGTGTGTATGTATGTATATATATATATATATATATATATATATATATATATATATATATATATATATATATATATATATGTGTGTGTGTGTGTGTATATATACTCACACTGTAATGGTCCCACTAATTACCCCATATGTACAGATGAAGTCTGGGTTCTTCATTGTGGCATTTTCCAGTCCTTTTGTGCTCTGTTGGCTAACCACAAAGCCCTCTCCAGGACCAGAGCCATGGCACAGCCTATGGTGTTACCCAGCCTTGACCTGTACGGTGAGTACAACACTGAGAGATTCCTCACAGTTGATTGGGCAACATTTTTAAATTTCCGCCACCGCTATCTTTCAGTGGTAATGGTAAAGGATAAGTTTATATTTTGTAAAAACAAACATAAAATATGTGCATTATTTTTTGTTTTGTTTTTTTTACATTGCAGCCTTTAAAGCATTGCACCTGTGATCAGTAGATTGGGGCTGCAATGACTGAGTTCTGTAGACTCTCAGTACACTGTCTGCCCTTACCTCTGATATGGACAGGCAGTTACTGAATGGCAGGAAGAATCCGTTTACAATGAGAATGCTCAGCAGTGTCCTCGCAGCTCATTGAGAACTGCAGTCTGTCAGCCGCAATGGCTGACGGTACTTGTAGTCTAATATATTCACCAGAAACTGAATGGCTGCACTGTTTTCTAATTGCGACAGTGGGTGAAGATTACCCACCCACTCTCACAAGGCAAGAAGCTCTGGCGAGGGACAGAAACATGCTACACCCTAAATATGGATGTAACATGGTGCTAAAGCTTAACTTAAAGTGCCTTGAAACCGTATTCATATCCCTTTGAAATTTTTCACAATTTGTCATGTTACAGCCAAAAATATAAATGTATTTTATTGGGAGTTTGTGATAGACCAATAGAAAGTGGCACATAATTGTAAAGTGGAAGGAAAATGATAAATAGTTTCCAATTTTTTTACAAATATCTGAAAAGTGTGGTGTGCATTTGTGTTCAGCTCACTTTACTCTGATACCCTAACTAAAATCTAGTGGAATCAGTTGCCTTCAGAAGTCACCTAATTAGTAAATAGAGTCCACCTGTTTTATTTAATATCAGCATAAATACAGCTGTTCTGTGAAGCCCTTATAAGTTTGTTACAGAACATTAGTGAACAAACAGCATCATGAAGGCCAAGGAACACACCAGATAGGTCAGGGATATAGTTGTGGAGACATTTAAAACAGGTTTAGGTTATAAAGAAAATCCCAAGCTTTAAACATCTCATGGAGCATTGTTCAATCCATCATCTGAAAATGATGGCACAACTGCAAACCTACCAAGACATGGCCGTCCACCTAAACCAGGCATGTCCAAAGTCTGGCCCGTGGGCCATTTACGGCCCGAGGGTCGGTTTAATACGGCCCTCCATGTCAGTGTGTCTTATGGAGCGGGAGCGCCGGTCCGGTATTTCCACTGCGGCCTTGTCAGAATACCGGGCCGGCCGCTCAGCTCTGCAGCGGGACCTTACCTGTTCCTCTATCCAGCGGCGCGCTGTCTTCCCGGCTTCTGTAGTGTGGGCGCTGGGCATGACAGCCGGGTGCCAAGTGCGCATGCGCAAGAAGCAGTGCTTTTTGTGAATGGTAAGGCGGTACCTGGGACACATGACAGATCCCAGAAGCCGCCGGACCAATCACAAAGCGCAAGTGCTTCTCGCTCATGCGCACTGGGCACCCGGCTGTCATGCCGAGCGCTATTACAGAAGCCGGGAAGACAGCGCGCGGCTGGATCGAGGAACAGGTAAGATCAAAGAACAACTGCGGAAGTAAGAGCGGGTACCTGTCAAATTCAGGTACCCGCTCCCCACCTCCCCTCTGGTCAAGGTCAGCAGTCATCTGTGCTGTCCGCAGTCTCTGGTCATCCCTGTGCTGTCCGCAGTCTCTGGTCATCCCTGTGCTGTCCGCAGTCTCTGGTCATCCCTGTGCTGTCCGCAGTCTCTGGTCATCTGTACTGTGTCTGCAGTCCATTAGTTCAGAATTTTTTTTTTCCTGTTTTCTGCCTGCTCTAAAACCTAGGTGCGTCTTATGGTCAGGTGCGTCTTATACGGCGAAAAATACGGTAACTTGGCATAAAATAATTTATTTGCATTTAATTGTAATGGTTCAAAGAATGTTTGGAAAAATGTTCGGCCCTCCACCATGTTCACTTCATCCAATCTGGCCCTCTTTGAAAAAAGTTTGGATACCCCTGACCTAAACTGACAGGCCGGGCAAGGAGAGCATTAATCAGAGAAGCAGTCAAGAGGCCCATGGTAACTGGAGGAGCTGCAGAGATCCACTGTTCAGGTGGACGAATCTGTCCACAGGACAACTATTAGTCGTGCACTCCACAAATCTGGCCTTTTCGAAAGAGTGGCAAGAAGAAAGCCATTGTTAAAAGAGCCATAAGAACTCCCGTTTGCAGTTTGGGAGAAGCCATGTGGGGGACACGGCAAACATCTGGAAGAAGGTGCTCTGGTCAGATGAGACCAAAATTAATTTTTTTTGGCCTATCTACAATAGAATAGTTTTTAGATCAAAGCATATTCACGTGTTAGAATGGCCCAGTCAAAGTCCAGACTTAAATTCAATTGAGAATCTGTGGCAAGACTTGAAAATTGATGTTCACAGACCCTCTCCATCCAATCTGACAGAGCTTGAGCTATTGTCTTGCATCTGTTCAGATGCGTAGGGTGCCTGGGCTTTCTTCCTGGTGCACTGCGGATATACTACAGAACAGTAAATGTATTTACCCTTTTTTTTTTTTTAGGGTATGGCTCTCTTTTGGTTCTGCTCATGACAGGGTTATCCTGGATGCCTCTTGCGCTCATAACATGTTCCTATCTCAAGGCAGGAGATTTTGAAATGGGGAAGTAGGAACTTTATTCTTCGTCTACTACAGTAGTTCCTCTTAGCTGATCACAATTCACCTCAAACTCAAGCATCAGATCTCATGGCCTGGTTCTCTGTCTCCTCTGCTCAGCTGTGTTCACATGACCGATATACCTCCTCATTTGCAAGTGGGAGGTTGTTCATCCATCCTGCTGGTTCACTTGCTGGTTTGAATGCTCAATCTTTCCCTTGTAGCTCTACTGTAAACCTTTGGATCAAGAATCTTTTATTTATTTGCCCCTTCTGACATTTCTGCAACCCACTGTGGAATACTTTTCTTTCATGCCGGACTGTGTTCAAGCCCTATCCCTCCTTTCAGGGATTTTGTGACTTGTAAAATCAAAAAGGATCAGTTCCTACTACACACTTGCCCTTGTTTAGGCAAAAATTAAGTTGTGTATTATCCCACGCCTCCAATGTGTACATAGTGATAGATAAACCAAAAAATGTAATAAATATTCCAAAAACGTGTAAAATGCGATTATATCAACTAAACAAAACACCATAAACATACCTCTATAGCAGGGGTCTTGAATTAAAATTTACAGATGTCCAGTCAGCAAAATTTCCTTTCAGCAGAGGTCTGAATCTCGCTAGCGATATAACACATTCCCCTGGTACATTATCATCTTTAGCGTACCTTTCACACTGTAGTTCCCCTACATCAGTCGCCTCTTTAGAGAAGTCCCATGGTGTCCTCAGTTCCCCTTTGCATCACTGCCCCCCTTTACATCGCAGTGCCACTTCAAACATCACAGCACCCTTTAACAAAACACAGTGCCCCTTTTAATGCAAGCCTTCCCCTGCACAGTCCTATGGTACCTTAGGCAGAGCAGGGGCACTAATTCCTTCTGGGGTGTCCTCTCCTGGGCCTCCAGCCCACCACAGGTCATCCTAATAGTGGGTGGGAGGAGCTGCGGTTCGGGACTGAGGGGCGGGAGCTGACCAAGTTATGTTAACAAGTGGGTGATTTCCTGGCTTGATAATATGAAAAGACTCGCTCTCTGTCTCGAGCTGCGGAGAGCGGAAGGTTTTGCATATTAACAAGCTGGGTATCACCAGTTCCCGCCCCTCAGTCCTGATCTCCAGCTTCTCACACCCTGCCCACTGTGAGGATGACATCTGTGGCTGAGTGAGAGGCCCAGAAGAGGATACCCAGCAGTGGCATGGCTGCGGTCGAGACAGGACTGTTCCTTGGTCTGGTTGCAGACCACAGTCCGCCACTTAGTGATTGCTGCTCTGTAGGATGGCTGCAAACAAAAAATTTGTGTTCCCATAACATGTACATAAATATACAACAAATAGTATTGCTGCACCTACCTCTCTAATAATGTTCACTTAATGTGCATATGTACATAAATACCACCCCAAATATATATATGTAAATATAAATACAGTGAATAATATAGCAACTCAAGATGCAATACCATATAAGCATAAGTGTCAAATCATGTCCTTTTTATTATCTTTGCAGTCTTGTGAAGGACTGTAAACGTCTCCACGTCTTCCTCTGTTTCACCTCTTGTGTTTAATCCAAATAATACATGGTGATTCCGTTCTCCACTGTGCTCACCTCAAGTGGTGGACCTGCCAACCACCAAGTCATAACACACTTTGTGCCTCTTTTGGGTTCCTTTGGTGACTCCACTCGATTATAGCTTCAATAACATGTATTCTCCTGTTGTCCCTGGAGATATGTTCTTCCACATATATTGGTATATGGCCCTTTAAAAAACTATCTCCGTGCAGTGGACTCATATGAAAAGGAAGTTCCCATTGTGTGATATGCCTCGATAAATCAATTTATTAATTAAAAATTTATTTACATCAGGGCTTAGAACAATGGCATAAAGTACAAACAGCGGGGTCGTGGCTCCTGCGTCCCTTCTGGTCTCGGCACTTGAGCCAGGTGACTGAGGAGCATATCTGATCTCCTGGGACAATAGGAGAATACATGTTATTGAAGCTATAATCAAGTGGAGTCATCAAAGGAGCCCCAAAGTGGGATGAAGTGTGTTATGACCTAATGGTTGGCAGGTCCACCATTTTGAGGTGAGCGCATTGGTGGGAATCATTTATGTAAGATTTGGATTACACACATGAGATGAAACACAGGAAGAAGTGGAGACGTTTATGGTTTACAGTCCTTCGTAAGACTGAAAAGATAAAAAAAATCTATTATTAAGTGTTCTTGCATGGCAAGACCACTTACTGTTATCTCACATATATATTCTTATTATAGCCAAATTTACCACCCTAACTCCTCCACACATAGACAGTATTATACCGAAACGTGCGGATTGTTCCCGATTTGTGTGCTATTACTTTGTGGAACGTTTCGCCAAATGGTTCACGAAATATCAGCATTTTTGTGGTGAAATTGGTCCCATGGGAATGAATGGTGGAATGTTCAAAGCTAGAGTGGGAGCTGACAAAAGCTAGATTGTCAGCTAAAAAAATCAGGACATGATTTCTAAACTGCCATCACTCCCTCATTTTCAAGCCCACCTACACAAATCTTATATCAAAACGTTCAGCTATCCCTGCTGCCACTAAAAATGTCCACGGCTAAGCCATAGTCCTGATAGTTTTCACGATATGACCATTTGTTTGCAACTCACGCCGCCCATTGACATTCATTGAAACTCCACTCTAGCCACCTCAAATTTGAAGGGCAATTTCTAAACTGCAACTGTGTCCTCATTTTTAGTATTTCAGAGACATATACTATACATCAAAATGTAGGTCTGGGTCTTGTGATTCTCACAATATAAAGCTCTTTGGTGTAGGATTTATACTTTTTAAATTACAACCATTTGAAAATGGAAACCGCCAGTGAAGTGAGCAAGTTGGAACAGTTTGTTTTTAACCGCTCTTCTCTGCCCTTGCTGTAGAATGAGTTGCCATAGGAACCCAGGTGTGTGAGCAGGCAGCAGAGTGACAAGCCACTCCACCCAGTTACTCCGCCCCCTCCAGTTGCAGACTTCTGGAGGAGGCAAGAACACTTCACACAATTTCCCCAGAAATTGTAGCTTTTCTAGTTTTTATAGTACTTTTGTGATTTGACACTTTTGCTTATATGGTATTGCTTTTTGAGTCGCTATATTATTCACGGTATTTATATTTATTTACATATACATTTGGGGTGGTATTTATGTACATATGCACAGGGTTTGCACAATAAGTGAACATTGATAGAGAGGAACAGCAATACTTTATTGTATACCCTTGCCTTTATGAAAGTCTGATTCTTCAGCATTTTCCTGTTGATTTTACAACCTACCTACGACACTGGCTAGTATGTCCATCCTAGTGCCTTTTTTTTGGGGGGGGGGTTCCCCTTCCTTGTGGAATGCTGTGGAGACCTTGCCTTACAAAGAGCAGTGTCCTACATTCTTGCAGTATCTGCTTAGGCCCCTTTCAAATGGGTTGGATCTGTTTGCTGATCCCCTGCTGAGCCGAGCAGCCAGATGACAGCTCCGTGTCCGCTTCACTTATGGAGGGCAGACACTGACACTGCCAGCTCTGCTGTATGGGCAGTTAGTTGAAATTGGACTGGTTCTCCGTTTAGACGACTGCCCTCTAATCTGTTCCGCTCCATCCAGGCTGAGGGAAGCGAATCTTTTTCCATTTGTCGAATTGGGTTGGAGGTAGTCAGGTGTAAATGGACACAAAACTGTTTACATCTAACTGCCCATAGAGGAGAATGGAGGGTCTAACCGGGTCTGCCAGAAAAATGTATAGGTGGACCTGATCAGACTG